TTTTTTTTGGGCCTTGAGAACCCAATAGGAATAATTTCCCTCTAGTACATAGCTTTCTTTTCTTTTTGGGCCACTCTTTTGGGCTTAGCCAAACCAGAACAGTTACGTTTCTCAAACCAATCGAAACTGATTTTCTAATTAAAACAGTTTCAATTCCTTGGTAACTGGTAAAAGATTCCTTCTACTTTTCAACTTCTTGGAAGTTGAAACTCCTTTACTCTCACCGTTCCAACTACCCACTTAATGGAACCCGTGAAACTCCTCCTCCCCTATTTAAATCAAGGTATCTCAATCCACTTTCATCACAAACAACTCTCCTAATATGAAAAGTCTTCAAACTCACTGTCTAAGGAATACACCAAGAAAAATATCCTCAATGGAGAAACTTTTTTTTCTCACCCTCATAGACGGCAATGGAAGAAGCCTATTGAGAAGAAAAGACTTTTAAGGTCTATGGTGAGAATCTCGGCAGTAGAGAAGGTCTATGGTGAAAATCTCCTATTTTTCAGTATTAGACCATACACCTTCTCTGGAACAACACTCTCTCTATCTTTTTTTTAGAGATGTGTTGCTTCCAAGATCTTGAATATCCACTTTGGATATTAAAGATCTATCAAACGCAATGCCAACTGCTCAGCCAAGCAGAATCTGCTGAAGCTGAAAACAGTCAAGGCGGAAGAAATCACAAAATCTCAAGACAAAAACTTGGTTTAGGAATTATTGTAATTTGAATTGTATTTGTTTAAGAGTTTTTGTTAACAAGCTGTATGTTATGAGAAACTAAAAGAAAGTTACAAAATTAGTTCTCAATACAGCGACCGAAACTCTTAAACACTTGTTTGTCATCATCAAAAAGGGGGAAATTGTTGGGAAAAATATTATAGATTTTGATGATGATTTATGTAATAGGGACTTTAGGTCTCCCCCAATATTCAATGTAATTTTTCTTTTTAGAAATATTGTTAAAACAAAGTTCTTGAGTTTTCCAATAAAACTGTGATATTTCTTTAAATGTTTTGATGCCTGAAGACTTGATCAAATTCAGTGATATGAAAATTGGATATCTTGATCGGAAGTGTCAGAAACAAGTAAGGATTTCTCAATCAGATAAAAATCCTCAGATCCGGAAAGACTACATAAGAACCGGATGTCTCGCTACAACCCGCTGAAGGCTAAGTCATTCAAATCGGAAGACTAGCGCGGATCTCCTTCTCACCCGGAAGTAAGACTCATCCGGATTTGTCAGCTAAGAATCGGAAGACTCACCAAAGACCGGAATTCTCAGAAAGCGGACAAGTGAGAAAA